CTCTGGTCCCAGAAAGTTTATCAATCCAGCCTGAGCGTGGCTCACAGGGAACCTGACTTCTCACGATAGCGAGGGTGTGGCAGAGAGTTCCTGCCCACGGCCCTGTTTGAAAGGACTTAATTCCAAATACTATTCAGTTTAAAAAAATCAGTGATGATTAAAAGAAAGAGGCAAACCAGGAGTGTTCGTTCCTTTGTTGTTGTTGTTCAGTTGCCAATATGAAATGTGTTACCTCACAGGTTAAAATTTTCTTCATGGTTTGGCAACCTGGAAACATGGCCACCATTTATAATATTATTTCCGTGAGAATGTGTGTTGTGAGGTCTAAACATTCAGCTTACAAACCCACTTTGGGGACATGAGTGTAGAGTAGGTGAGTGTGTGGTATGTGTTTTGAATGAGAACATGGGTGCTTTGCGTGTGTGTGAGTGAATATGAGTGCAAGTGTGTAAGTATATGCATGAGTGTGTTAGTGTATGTTTATGAGCGTGTATAGGTGTGTGTGAGAGTACATGTGTGAGTGTGTGTGTGTGTGTGTGTGTGTGTGTGTGTGAGGAGGGCTCTGTGTGCTGGGAGTTGTAGGAAGGAGGATTTCTTGGTCCCCTCACCAGTTTCTAGGTTCTGCTTGACTTCATCCTCACTTAAGCCTTATGTAAACTTAAGACAACTCAGGTTGAGACCTTCTATTACTGTCAAAAGCCATTTTGAAGCAATTCAAATGCTGTTTCCACTCTTCTGGGAAATCCGTGCAGTCCTGGAAATGATAATGGCATTCTATGATCATCGGCTGCTTTGTAAAATGGCTTCAACAAATAGATCTTGTCTCTTCTGTGCCCCGTAGGGCTGGAGGGGGCTCGATAGACTGCCAGTGGACAGCCCGGCACGTGCCAGGTTCTGCACTGCTTGCTTCCTTCACAATATGTCATTAACTCAGTAGAGGAACCCCGGACGGTCAGTACTATTATTTCTCTTTGAGAAAGTGTGTCCAGGCCTGTTTAGGCACTAACCAAACACCACACAGGGACCTGAGCCTCAATCACTAGCTCCAAACGTGTGCTCTTTTCCCTGTATTACCCTGGGAACTAATTTTCCTCTCCTTTCTGCTCTTCTTTTGTCTCAGTCTTTGAGCCTTGATGGGACATTCCTGGCTTTGGGTGACAGACAGTTTCTGCCCAAGGCTTGGTGTAACCCGACTGGGATCCTCTGCCCTGTCCCCTCCCCTCCCCAGAGCAAAGGTCTCCTCAGTGGGGAAAACGCGTTGGCCCTCTTTAGCTTGGCGTTCCACACTCAGCTGCAGAGCAAAGTGTTCCAGCTTCTGAAAGGGGAGAAAATATCCTGCAGGATCACTGCAATTTTTTTCTCTCAAGTTTTTTGCAAAGTGTAGATTGGGGCATAATTTCAAATTTGGTTTATTTGAGCTTTGTTTAAACATTTGTTGTGTTGTTATGGGGTTCTTCCAGCAAGGTAATGCAATACACATGGGGAGCCTTCCGTGGTCCTTTTTTCAATCAGAGTATATAGTCGTTGATATCGTGATCACCCTGATTAGTTCCGGGCATCCCGGGAAGGGGTACGGTCCTATTGCAGTGCCCACCGAAACCAGGATGACAAGCTGTTGATTTTGGAGGGTTAGGGATAGAACAGAGAGGGTAAGGCCAGGGGACAATTTGGGGGAACACAATTGGTCTCAGAGAGAACATCATTTCTTTTCAACTATTACCAAAGTCATTCAGAAATAATTACTGCTTTGTCGGAAAAGTCATGATGTATTTTTTCTGTTTTTCATTGCAAAAATGTGTCATGACTTTTCTGATGACCCAATACATTTAGAGTTTACATTTTATGACGACAGCTCTTTCGATATGGTTCAGAGTTTTTTTATGTTGGCAAACTTTGGCCTCGCTGCGTTGCCTTACCCAGCGTATAATTTTGGTAACAAACAATAATTAACTAATAAGTTGAATTCTCAGAAACCTTTATAGGTTTCTTTTGAGTATATATAGGTTAATATAAATATTTTTAAAACACTTTACAATAATCAGCAATATCTTGCTCCTAGTTTTTCTTTTCTTCAAAAATGTAAGGAATGGGGCACATACTAGAAAAATCTATGTGTATGACATTCAGGGAAAACACTTTTCACCTTCAACCCAGGCAGGGGAAATGTACAGAGGAACCCAAAGCCTTGTGGGTTTTGTCAAGGCTATGGCAGTGTTTCCACTGTGGGGTCATCTGGAAGTTTTGTCACCACAGAAGGTAGTAAACATTTCATTATCCAAAGCCTCATTGTTCTATGCCTTCCCACCTTCCAGAGGCAGAAACTATGCTTTCAAGATCTATTAAAGCAGGTCACACTCGAAAGCATAAGGCTTCAAAGCACTGGGGACCCCTTTTTTTTCCATTGTATCAACTACCTCTTAGGACCTGGGTTTGGGACTGACTGGGATTGGGAGGGAGAAGTCGGGAATCTCAGGATTTGCCTGGAAAGTGGAAAGGAGGCAATTCAATGGGGAGACAAAGAAGCTCACTCTGGAGCTGTCTATTTTGTCTTTTAAAAACCTAGCTCCTTGCTGAGCTAGGTGCGTCGTCCACGGCTGAGACTGAAGGACAACAACTTGGCTGTTCCCCTTCCCCAATTCCCAACACTGTTCCCCTTCCCCAATTCCTCAGTAAAATCTTTAAACCCCCCCAAAGCTCCTCCCCCCCTCAAAAAAAACCTAGCCTTTTAGTATGGATGTCCCCGAGTTTCTCAAAACAGGAGGTATAAACTCCCAACGGCTGAGGCCCTCAGCCAGGGGCCCCCATTTTCCTGCTCACCTCTTTTGTCCAGCCAGTTCTCTCAGGTCGGTTCTTTTACTTGGAGAACCTCTGCTTGCCCACAGGCCCAGCCTGGCCCTCTCCTGTGAGGCCTGTCATTTGGGAAGTTATTTTAGCAGAGGGTGATATGGGTTCAGGGCAGCTGGCTTGCAGTTTAGAATCCCTGCCATGTGCTGAGGGCCAAAACCATTCAATCAAATACATAAGAGAGTTTCGGCACTGTCCTGGACTTCTAGGATCCATCTTACATAGTCTTGGTCTTCATTGGTTTCAAGAAAGGATGAGGGAACCCGCAGAGACCAACAAGGCACTGTGAGCAGATGTGGTTTGCAAGTATTTGTAAATTAATTTCGGAATTCCTTATTCCCTATGGTCAAAAAACCAGGCAACAGGCCCCAAGTGGAGTCACTTACACTGAGCACCACATCACCAAACAGAGATGTAATTACAGTTTTGGCTGTCCCGGAAATGGAATTTTACACCAGAAAATCAGGAATTGCCTTACCAGCACTAGTTAGGTAATCTGTCTGATTACACATAAAGGAAAGTGACTTTGCAGAAACCAGTTTGCTTTTTTGCCAAGTATAACTTCCTTGTTCCCGCTTTCTTCTGCCTCTATAAGTCTTTCATTTTGCACTGCTCCTTGAAGCTCCTTTCTCTCTGCTAGTATGGGTGCTGTCTGATTCATGAGCCATTGAATAAAGCCAATGAGGTCTTCAAAGTGTGCTCAGTTGAGTTTTGTTTTCTTAACACTATAGATGTGTGGTTCTTTGAGTTCTTCTTTGAACTGGTTAAGAAGTCATACTGGTTCCCTCATTAACGAATTCACTAAAATCTTTGATGGGTTTTCATTTTATATTTGTACGAGAGGCGTGGTTTTTACCTTTTAACAAATATCTTTTAACCTTAGGTAAATAATATGCCAAGTACTTTTCTAGACACTTTATGTGTTTATTTAACAAACAGATGGAACACATTTTTAGATGTGTTATTTTAAGTGCTTTCTAAATGTTAACCAATCCAAATCCTCGTAACTGCCCTATTTCATGCAAACTTCCCCTCAGCCTGCGTCAGCCCATCTTAACAAACCAAGGCTCCGAATCCTGCCCAAGGTTGTATCATCATTAAGTGTCTGGGCGCAGGCTCGTGTGAGGCTGACACATGCTGGCCTTCCTGCGGACACTGGGGCTCCCTCTAAGTGAGCTGGTGGGGGGGCGAAATGAGGAAGGGACCCCAACTTTGTTTAGTGGGAAGCTGCAACTCTAAAGAGCAAAATGACTGTGTCGTCAGATGGGAAAGGTAGAGGTGAACTTAAAATATTGGTCCACTTCTTGCCCCAAGGTTCTTCTTCATTCTCAGAACATATATCCTGGTTTTTGTTTTAAATTGTGACATAAACTTCTAGTTATAAAATAAATGCATCCTGGGGATGTTATGTTCAGCATGGTGACTATAGTTAACGATACTGTGTTGTATATTTGAAAGTCGCATCACAAGAAAAACAAATGTCTAACTTTGTGAGGTGATGGATGTTAACTAAATTTAGGCTAGGGGTCATTTCGTAATATATACATATATCAAATCATTATGTTGTACACCTGAAACTAATACAATGTTATATTGTCAATCCTATCTCAATTTAAAAAAAATTTAAAAAAAAATTATGGTCACCATGATCATGGAAGAGTCAAGGTGACAATGAGAGGCATCATGGTACAGGGAATAGGGCACAGATAGAATCTGCTGGCCTTGGGTTCAAATTCTGTGCTTGCCATTTACTGGGGAATAAAGTTAGAATCAGTTTAAATGAGCATTTAAATCTCAGTGGGATTAAATAAATACTTCCATACCTTTGCTTTTCCACAGGAGATGAGAACAGTCTCAGTGAGGCCTTGGAGCTGGCTAGGGAACTAGAGAGGTCCAGGAGTTGGCAGAGGGGGAGGGGAAATTGCTTTTGAATTGGCAGAGGTGAGGGTTTAACCGCAGGTGCTGGTGCTGGAAGCAAACACTGCAGCCTGTGGCTGGTGGCCAGACAGCTGTAAATCAAGTTCAGGAAGCAACTCCAGGGCCAGATGCAGATCTGTGACTGGCAGTCCCGACCTTCCAGGTTCCCGTTCCTGTTCCAGGGCAAAGGTCATTCAGCCACTTGCATCACCTTTTTTTTTTTTTTTTCCCTTCCCCAGCTTTCTTTCCCTTTTAAGGAAGGTCAGCATTGCAAAGCTGAAAGTGCCTGTGTTATCTTCCTCTTGATTTCTACAAATAGTTCCGTGAAGCAGAAGGTTCCAAGTGCAAGATGGCTGGGAATTCCATCTTGCTGGCTGCTGTCTCTGTGCTCTCTGCCTGTCAGCAAAGTAAGAGTCCCGGGCAGCGTGTGTGTGTGTGTGTGTGTGTGTGTGTGTGTGTGTGTGTGAGCAAGAGGGAGGTCTGGTTTTGGAGTTTCATACTTAACTTGCTGGTGGCCCTGTGTGCTGTGAAAAGCGTAGTCTGCTTAGGGCCATGGGCGCTTCTTTCTCTGGGACAGGCATTCCAGGGATGAGATCTCCCCCTGGGGACGCAAGGCCTCTGAGCCCAGCCTTTCTGCATCATGGGTGGCTACAACCCACAGCCCAATTCAAGCCCATTAGCAGTGTGCTAACCTGGGGGGAAATGGCCTATAAATATTAATTGTACCTGCTTGTAAACTCTGGCTATGATTTCTTAAACTCTGATCTTTTAATTAATGCATTTTCTTAAATAAACTGCCTATGGCAGGTATGATTATCAGGTGTAAAAAAAATCTCCTGCAGAAATATGAGCTTCAGATTAAGTAATTAATTCTAAATTTTAAAGCACTTTCCCACTAGGGTTATTCAATATCCCAACTGCCTGGTTAAATAGAGGGCTTTTTCTCTGTGGGGATCACATTTACTCAATTCATATCCTCTTACCTGCTAAGTGGGGAAAAGGGTCTGAGTGAGCACTGGTGAGACTTCTTACCAAGTACACATATTTATCTTTCCAAGTGTGCCTGTACAGGAAACAGGGCAGGGCTGTGGACTGTGCCCAGAAGCTGGAAGCACGAAGGCACCACCATTTAGGATAAAGTCCAGCCTGTACACCTGCTCAATGTCTTGCCTAGCCAGTCTGTTTTGTGGATTTATGAAAATACTATAACTTAAGACACACATTTTTGTGGTCTGAGTCACAATCTTTTCTGGAGTAGAGCACGATGTTTATTACTGATTTAAGGAGCACTTAGACCTACTCAGGGGCACTACCAACCCATGTGTGCCCTCATCACGGCATGGCAAGACCCCAGGAGAAGGTCCACAGGTGCCCCCAGGCTGACAGAGCCTCTGTCATCTGCACAGGAGGGCTACTGTTTGCTGGTGGCTGCAGGGGACAATGTGAGCGGCGGCCAGAAGGTCTGGCAGCTGGGTGACATGGGTGGCAGCAGGAAAGAAGAGGGGAGGCTGGACCAACAGTGGTTGTTGGGGGACAGGAAACGTTTAATGATAGGTGAAAGAGAAAAAAAAAAAAGAGGAGAGGCCGCTGTTTAGTTGGCATGAGGAAGCAGAATTTGCTGCTTCTACAAAAGTCTGGTATTTATGGAGATGGGACACCGTGTGCCATGGTAGAAACAGCTCAGGTTTTGAAGACAATCTTGTGTCTTTCGAGTCCAGCTACTTACCTGTTAGGTACCTCTGGCCAGGATAGCGTGTCCTTCAGTGTCCTCATCAGAAAGGGTTAAACAGGTCACTGGGTAAGAAATGCCCAGCAGGGTGCCTGGCCCAGGGCTGGTGCTCAGCATGGTCAGTCCTCAGTCCCATCCTCGCTGCTTCCCTACAGAGAGAAGCGTCTTCAGGATTGACAGCCATGGCTGGGGGGGTCAGGGTGGGAGGTGGTCTCCTCAGTGCACCTATCCCTCTGGAGAAAGCTAGGGAGAGAGGAAAGACAGGCAAAACAAACGGAAACGATTCTCAGGTCGTTTTTAATTAACTCGTAAGAAGAGAAACAACGTTGACGCTCTCCAGAAGAAGTGGTGAAATAGCCTTTCCACCCTCATCTGTTCCAACGGTAGCCATGTGTCTCTCAGGCCCCTGATCTGGGAGGACAGTGACAAGGCTTCCACCCCTTGGGGCTTCGCTGGCCCAGCTGCATCCTCCTTGCTGGGGCTGGGCTGCTGGGTGGGGAGTGTTCAAACACTTCCTCCCTTTGCTGAAGCACATTCCTCACTGCTGCAGCCGCTACAGACAGGCCAGCCAGGTGCAACGCACAGCCTAGACTCTAGGCCCTAGAGGAAGGCAGCACCTGCAAAGCTTTCGCTCCCTCACAGCCTCATTCCAAAGCTCCAGGTTCTTGCACCACTGCTAATGTAAAATCTAGGAGCACACATCTTATAGAGAAAAACGAGAAGCCTCACCAAGGGTTTTCTCCAGGGCTGCGGAGTGAGCTGGAAGCAGGGTCCAGAACAGCCAAGTCCCAATTTCCCCCTCAGTAGATTGATCTTTTTGGCTTTAGCCATTAAGGAGAGTAAACTGCTTTACTCAAAGGCTACTGATGTAAATGTTAATCACATCTAAAAAATACTTTCACAGCAACATCTGGACCAATGTTTGACCAAACAATTGAATCCCATATCCTCGCCTACTTAACACATAAAATTAACCATCACAGAGTTGTCTCTAATTTTTGGAAATTACAAATAAAGCTGCTGTGCACATTTGTGTACAAGTCTTTGTATGGAGATATGCTTTCATTTCTCTTGGAGAAATACCTAGGAGTAGCATGGCTGAACCATATAGTCTATGTATGTCTAACTAAAAAAATCCCTTCCAAATGGGCTTTTTTTTTTTTTTAAACGGTTTCTTAAAGTGGCTGTACCATTTGACATCCCCATCAACAGGGTATGCGAGTTCCAGTTGCTCTCACGTCCTCACCTGTCTGTCTTTTTTTAACTGGTAAGACCTGTCCTTTTAATTTTAGACATTTTGATAGGTATAGTGGTATCTGATTGTGGCTTAAATTTGCGTTTTGCTAATGAATAACAACATGGCAGATTTTTAACATTAATTCCTTTTTACTTGCAGGTTATTTTGCTTTGCAGGTAGGAAAGGCAAGGTTTAAATACAAAATTACACCCCCGGCAGTCTTTGGGTCACCAGAGTTTGAGAGAATATTTCGTGCACAGTAAGTAATGCTTCTCCCCCCCTTCAGGGACTTGGGCTGGCCACTTACACATAATTCTGGTTAGGGAGAAAATGTGCAGAGACAAGATAACCACTCTTTATGGCCAAGACCCTTCTCACGATCCTTGAAGCTTGAGGTACCCATGCATGGAGTCTCTACCCACCTATATTATGGATTCAGAGGGCGCACTTACAAAATAGGATGGGATCTTAGCAGGGCCTGCTTTATATCTCTAAGCACAGCAGTTTGGTCAAAGAGCCCCCTGAGAGTTCAGTAGCCTCAAATTGGATTAGCTATGCTATCAATTTTCTCTTTTTTATCTTTATTTCCTTCTTTCCACTTCAAAACAGAGGTGGGGTAGTATTCCCCTCTGCCCACGAACCATTTCCTCAAATCATAAACACGTAAGAATGAGGAAGCTTTTATTAAACATCTACTCATCATGGTTTTGGTCATCTTGTTCTCCTTGCCTTTTCAGACCCACACAGAATGTTCCACCATAAACACCATGAATTTGTCTGCTGCAAGACACTTGGGCCCCCTTTGTATTTCATCCCCCAAACTAAGCGCTTTTAAAAACATGGCACCTATCACCATTTATACTACATCGCTCGGTTGTTTTGTTAATGTTCACGAGTGAGGTTGGCCTCTCATTTTCCTTTTTGTATGGTCCTTGTCTCATTTTGATATCAAGCTTATACTAGTCTCACAGAACAAGTTAGAGAATTATTTTCTGAGAGAATTTTAATAAGATAGAAAGAGTGTACCAATAAATACCTCAGTTGTTAGAATGTGCATGTAGAATGATCTGGACCTGATGTGTTCCTTGTGGAAAAATTTTAAACTATGGGATTTAATTTTTTTAGTGACAATTAGACTCTTCAGGCTTTTTATGAAGTGTTCAGTGACTTCGGGCAAGTCATGATCCTTGAGGTGACAACAGTGGTCTCTTGTTCATCTATTTGCTCCAAGGAGGCAGGCACGCCCTGTGTCCTCAGCTTGAAAGTGGGAGATGAACACCACTGGTAATAGTAGAAGAGATCATTTCAAGAGGTGCACAGACATGATAATTAAAAAGAAAATTTTATTGTGGTAAGAACATGTAACATGAGGTCTACCCTCTTAATTTTTTTAAAGTACGTATTGTCAACTAGAAGTACAATGTCATACAGCAGATCTCTATAGAACTTATTCTTCGTACTTGAATGAAACTTTACATCCAAGGTATGATTTTAGATAACATCGAATCACACGATGGGAAAGCCATTTTCATTTCAATTGTCTTTGAATCTTTATGGTTATGCCAGTGGGAAGGACTGGTTTGGCGCCAGTATGTCCCACCCTCCAAAATCAATATTTAGTTTCATCAGAGTAATTCATGTATGTGCTCGGAGGCTTTAGCAATCGGTAGAATTGGGCAACTTCTTGTCTTCATGGGATTTGTTTTTATATTTTTCCTTTATTTAGAAAGTGATACTCTTTTTCTACTTGTGGTGGTGATGTAAAATTTCATTTTCCCTAATTTGTTTAAGAAAAAATTTGATTTATAGAGAAATAGCAAGTGGTATATAGAGAGGCTAAACTTTTGACCATGATCTATTAGTGCTTGAAGTTTGGGAGATACTGCACTATTTATAAAAATCATCACAGGAGGAAATTCCACATCTTCCCGCTTTGTCTTTCATCATCTGAGAACTTCCTGTTGGGGAATGTTGGGCTTCCAGCTAAATCCTTGGGTCGTCTCTGGTTCTGTGTTCATTCACGTAGCTTTCACAAATATGGTTTTTTTTCAAGTTATTTCTCTCTCTCCTTCCTCTTCTTTATCTAGACTCTTTGTCCTGGGAATAAAGCTAGGCACCATTTCCAAATATGTCTCTTAAGTTGCTGTTTATAAAATAGCATACAAACCCAATTTCCTTGTTAGAAGTGTTTTTTTTATTAGTTTCAGGTGTACAAAACAATGTAATAGTTAGACATTTACACCCCTCACAAAGTGATAGCCTCCCTCCCCCAATCTACTACCCCTCTGATATCTTATATAGCTGTTACAATTCCATTGACTCTATTCCCAGGATGCTGTACTCTACATCCTGTGGCTATATATATGTTAAATTATAGTTGACATTCATTATGATTCAGCTTCAGCTTCGGGTGTACAGCACAGTGGTCAGGCATCTACATCATTCATGAAGTTGTCTCCCTAATAAGACAAGTGTCCATCGGATACCCTACAAAACCTTTACAACATTATTGACTATATTCCCCAAACTGTCTTTTGTATCCCGGTGGCAATCTTGTGGTTACCAATTTGTGCTTTCTAATCCCCTCACCTTCTCCCTCATCCCCACCCTCCTCCCATCTGGCAATCTTCAGTTTTTTTTCTCTATATCCCTAAGACTGTTAGAAGTGTTTTTTATGTTTTGTTTGATTAATCATGGTGGAACAGAGAGGGGTTAAAACATAATAGCTAGTAGTTGGGGTGTGTTGGGGGGGCATTTGAAGCCATAGAAGAACTGTAAGGGCACAGTAGTGGCTGTCCTGGGTTCTCTCTGAAGAGTGCATGGGGATGGCCCTGCTCTCTCACCTGAATTTCTTCTTAGACAGCCCACAGCACTAGCCCAGTTCTTGCCTTAGATTCTAAGTTTAGAATAAGTCTGGCCAAATCAGATTAGACTCATTGCTAGTGAAGTCATTTTGACTTTATCTAAGGTAGTTAGGGCAGGATCCTCTGGGATAACTAGTTCATTCCCAAGCCTACTTGGCTACCTCTTCTGGTCTTCACAGGTAGGTCCCCTTGAGCTCTGCCAGGTCCTGCGAGGGAATGCGCTTTCTCCTCTGGCTCCCCCGGACCAGAGCCCTGAGTCTCTCCAGCCTCCGTATGGCCTTGGCTGTAATGGGAATGCTGCCTTTTCCCTGTCCTCTTCCCCTGCTGCTTCGCCCTGAGCATCGCCAAGAAGCCTGATGGTATGACGAATTCTATCTTTAAGCGGAGTTTGCCATCTCACAGCAATCACTGTAGGGTCCCTCTGACCACATTGATGTGCCTGTTTCCTGTCTGAGGGTTGCCTCAGGTTGAATGTTTATTTGCCAAGCTGAGATGCTTGTTGTGGACCCTAACTTACCCAAGTTACCAGCACAGGGTCCTTTCTCCAGAGACCCCATTCAATTCCTCTTCCCTTCCTACAGAGAGGGGCTCAGAGGTGGCTCTCGCGAGAGTTTTGCAGTCTTGCCAGAGTATTATTATTTTTTTAAATTACAAAAATAGCAACTATAATTTCACCAAGGGCCATTCTTTCATGTTATTGCTCAGCTCAGAAACTTCTATCTAGTCTAATTTGAGCATCCTGATCCCTTTAGATTAAAGGCTTTTATTAATCTAAAAAGTAGATCCACGTCATAAGCGGACCTTGTTGCAATTTAAATACATTTCCTCTGATTCTCTTCTCACCGGAAGAGAAGAATAGCTGCTGACCTCACTCACTTGAGGACCATTACTAGGTATCTTTTATCTTCTGTATTTTGAAGCTAGGTAGCACTAACTCTTTGGCTTTGTTTTTCAATCATTAAACATTTTTTGTTATCTTTAGACTAAACATTTTCATATTATTTCCAAATGTGGAACGTGGAGCCTAGAAGTATATGTGATATTCTAACAATGGTTTCACGATTCTGAGTAAGACAGAGGAATTGCCTCCTACTTAGTTCTTTTTTTTTTTTAAACTTTATTGGGGAACAGTGTGTTTTTTCCAGTACCCATCAGCTCCAAGTCAAGTCATTGTTTTCACTGGCCCATGTGGAAATTCAACCAGCAACTTTGGTGTTATGAGCACCAACTGAGCCAACCGGCCACCCACTGGCAGTTCAGCTCCAAGTCAAACTGTTGTCTTTCACTCTAGTTGTGGAGGGCACAGCTCACTGGAGCCATGTGGGAATTGAACCGGCAACCTTGGTGTTAAGAGCCTGTGCTCTAATCACCTGAGCTAACTGGCCACCCGTACTGAGTTCTTGTTAATGCACTCCTGTTTGCTTAATGCTGAGTTATTCAGTTCCTGTTCCAGAGTTCACCTGCCACAACTAAACCCAATCATCTTGAATCTGAGTACTCTTTAGCAATATTATCCCCTTTGTACTCTAGTATAGATCTGTACATTTATAAATAAAAACTAGTGACCTTAATGCATATCTGAAAACTACAGAGAAGAGAAAAATTTACAAAGATAGTACTTTTCAAATATTCTGCAACACTAGGATTATAGAAATGTGGGTCACCTACTTTTGTAGTAAGTACAGAAAAGTTAAATAAATAGATATATTTTTCTTATAAGCGTACCCATCTTAGACATTAGCTGAAAGCACAAGGTGGAATTATCCACTGAGTTACTACAATGCAAAGGGCTGGGATCTCTAAGATGAGAGAGTGGCTCTAAATGACGAGGTCTTCAAACTCCAGCATCCTGCCCCACAAACCACCAGTGTTAGTCAGTTCAGGCTGTAACAAAATACCACAGATGGGGGGTGCTTACACAATAGGCATTTGTTCTCTCACAGTTCTAGAGGCTGCAAACCTGGGATCAAGGTTCTGGCTGATTCGATTTCTGGTGAGAGCTCTCTTTTCTTGGCTTGCTATGTCCTCACGTGGCCTTTCCTCCGTGCATGTGTGTGTGGTAGTGGCAGGGAGAGTGAGTGGTGGGTGTCAGAGAGCCCCCTGCTGTTTCTTCTTGTATGACACCAATTCAATTGGATCAGGGCCCCAGCCTTCTGCCCTCCTTTATCCTTAATTACTTCCTTACTCCAAATAGAGCCACTTCGGGTGTTAGGACTTCAACATAATGAATTGTGGGGAGGACAAACTTTTAGTTAGTGCCACTATAAAATAGCTTCTGTCACACAAGCTTGGTGATTCTCAGGTAGTCAGGGGACGGAAGGTGGCTGGAATTTGGACGAGCTGCAGGCTTCACGCTCTCATCTGCTCATCCTGTTCCTTGTCAGCAGCACCGCTGAAGAGTGTTGGTGAAAGTCATGCCCTCCTGCCGCTAGCAGCATTCTCCTTCTGGTGCCCCCACACAAGGCTTACTTGACAAGGAGCAATTTAGACAGTTACGAGTCTATAGAAAGCTTAACTCCAGCAACCTCTCATCCCCCAGACTTTTCTGAGCATATTAACCTATTGCTCTGACCCCCAGCCAGTGTAATAATCCAAAAGACTTCCCAGGGTCGAAAGCCAGCGGACTGAGGCTGGGTCATCTGTTAACAGGGCAAGCAGCTCATAGCGGCATGCAGCCCACTGCTTCAGAAAACAGAGTACAGAACAACAGGGGAAAAAAAGGCGAACAAAAACTTGAAAGTGGGAAGCCTCTCAAGGAGCCTCCTTTAAGTTGCCTTGTCTGTTTTTTATTGTTTAAAAGATGTCATCTCATGAGCATGGCACTAGGAATATTCTATGGCTGATGAGGTTTTCCCTTTTGGCAAATGGTTCAGATTTTCTATGAACAATATTGTTCTATACAAAGTTTCCTGGTGCACATTACTTAGAAATCGATGTATCAAATAGCAAAGATATTCAGAAGTGTTTTAAGTCAGAGGTCTCCCAAGTGGTGTGTGCCCTGAGGGGGGTGCACTAAGTAAACTGTTGGGGGGTGGGGAGGTGATGAGGAAAACATTGGAGCTGCTATTCATATTTATTCTTAAAATTTCACCCTTTAATTTCTATTTCGGGTGTGTTTTATAATATATACGGTATTCTTTTCCAGTCGATTGTATTAGCTGTGCTAATAGATCAACCCGATATTCCCAGTGGTTTAGCACAATGGAAGTTTACATCTTCCTCGTGTCAAGTTCAGTATGGGTGTTCCTGGTTGGAACATGGGCATTTTGAGGCCTAGGCTCCTTCTGTCTAAGAGGTCTGTCCCCATCCACGACCTTAGAATTCCCTCCATTCAACCAGTGAGTGGAGGAAAGGAACGTGACACACGAGCTACTTAACCATTTGGCTTAGAAGTGACATATTTCCCTTTTATTGGGTTTCCTTTGGCAAGAGGAAGCCCCACCGAAATCCAAGGCGGCTGGGAGTGTAGTCGGCTGGGCAGCTACTGCACAGCACCACCAGCTTCACTCCATCTGTTGTCAGCTAGCATCTCTGCTACAGTAGGACATGTATATATTTTTATGAGGGTTGTATAACCATGAAGGCTACGCAATTAAAAACATTTGGAGACTAGTGTTTTAGGAACTGTCAGAACTGGGGCTGCCTGGCCACACATTGATTCTTTTTTTCCAAAATGAGATGAACATAATGATTGAGACAGGGTCCAAACGGTACTTAGTTTGGGATTTTCCCCCAGTATCCCCTCGGATCCAGGCAGGCATCTGCAGTGGTCACATGTCCTGAGTCCCACGGCCCAGGCTCCCTTGGAGTTGGGATGGACCATGATGGTTTCAGCAGCCATAAATACTCAGTCTCAACAGGCTCCGCCAGACCGACCTTTGGGATGACCAACTTGGGACTTTCTCAGTTTTGGCACTCAAAGTTCTGTGTCCCAGGAAACCTTTCAGGTCCAGGAAAACCAGGACAATTTACCAATAAAACAAGGAGACTGTCCTGATTTTAAAACTGGAAGTCCCATGTTCTGAAAACCTTCTCAGTCTAGGGCAAACAAAGATGGCGGTCCACCCTACTGTCCTCCCAGCAAAAACTCTCTTTGTTATCACCCCTGTGTAGAATTTGAGGGCCATGGCGACATTTGCCTATGACAAAGGAGAAGCTTCTCCCTAATCTTTTTATGGGAAGCTTAAATATCAGCAGAGCACAGGATAATTGTGCAAAGGGGGCTCTAACGAGCAAGTGGGGAGGCAGACTCAGTTTCCCCTGGTGTGCACTCGCAGGGAAGGGGGTGGGCCATCAGTGGTCACACTCACCCATGTCCTCCCTTCCCACCAGAGGGGAAATCAACACAGATGCTGCCAGCCATGTTCTGTCCCATTTGGAGAGTTTCCTGAGGGTCTCCTATAATGAGATGACAGAATATATCTGCCTTCATGTCCAAAAGAGACCCAACAATTATTCTCATTTTGGTTTTCATGGAATGTGACTGTAATTAGTCACCAATAGGATGATTAAGAAGACATTGTCAGAGTTTGGTCCCCTTGAATTAAGCAATGTCTGTTGACAGCTTCCTGTAGATGCATTGTCCTGGGACACACCGTGGTGGGAGAAGGACATGGGCACACGCTGGAGGGGGTGGAGGAGGTCAGAATGAGCAGGTAGAATGGGATTCCAGGTATCTTAAGGCCTAGTTATACCAGGTGTTCTCAGCAGGCAGCAGCAGAGAAGACTGTCAGCAAGGAGCAGGGCCCCAGGACTGGCTGTCAGAGAATTATTTTCAGTCTCTGAAAGATAATAGCAAGACATGGACATGGGCCGGCCGAGTGGCGCGATGGTTAAGAACTCGCTTGGGATGCCAGAGGGCCCCGGTTTGGATCCCACATATGAGGGCCAGTGACACTGCCC